ATTCATAGCATTCTTGATAAGCCAGCAAATATACTCACTATCATTGATCGTGAAATTGGTATGACCAAACTTGACCATGACAACCATCTTGGTAAATTCACGCATTCCGACACAAAATTCTTGGAGGCGCTCGCTGTGACTGTGACTGTCGATATTTACATGGTTGATCAATTTGGTGTTGGGTTCAAATCAACTCTTGAAGAGTACCATTTGAATGTGCTAATAAAGAAGTACTCAGAGTTTGTCAACTATCTCATTTGTCATCGACTATAGCTTATGTTGAAGTCTCTCCTAGATGGGGAGAATGACACCGAGTGGAAATATCCAGGCCGATTTAGCCAACCAAACATGTCTCCTTATTATGGCCAATCAGACATCTTACTACTAGCCTAAAGTTCTTCCTACCCCAGTAAAATGACGTCGGAGCTTAGCTGCTTAATCCTGTTAACTTTAGGCTAGAGTAATTCATACGGTAGTTTGTATGGCTATATAGGAGTAGTGTTTTCTAATGTTGGATGTAGCCTATTATGTTGCTACCTTTGTTTATAAATATGTAGATAATACTTGTAATATGGGGGATGAATAAGATTTGAGTTTAGTTTTGTTTCTATTATGTATCCTGAAATAGATTCAGGTGGTGGTATCTTTCCCCAAGAAGGAATTATTGGAGTTGTGCTCGGCTACAGTTATCGGATCGCCAACGAATAGTCATTGAGACCCACTTGTCCGACGTCAATAACTACTTTTAGAGTTTTTGTAAGTTGAAGAAGGCAATGTACTGGGTTTTAGGGAATCACCTGTGTGTGTGTGTCTATATATATATATATATATATATCACAAGAGAATTTGTCATATCCCCTTGTTTGAAGAGATGTTTGTGTTATGATTTTAAATAATTATTTGGTGATCTCAACGCGAAGCTTAATATCGACCTAAATAAATAGTTAAATGTTCCATCTTGCGGGGAAGGGTCAGTCAATTTTTTTCTATTTTATGATTTTAAATTTTTATTTGAGGATCTTGGCGTGTAGCAGGATGTTGGCCCAAAAAAATATTTAGAATCTCTCATCTTGTGGGAGAATTTTAAACAAGTTTTAATTAGAAAACTAAAAAAAATGCCATTCTTGCAGTGGGATTTTTGCAAGAATACTTGAAATACTTTCTTATAATACAAGAGAATTTCAAGAATGTAAAATGCATATATTGATAAACATATATAAAATGCATAGTACATTAAACAGAATTTTCTTGAATAAATTATGTGTGATACTTCTTCAAATATCGACAGTTACTCGACGGCATGGGCCTTTGATCGTTGATATCGATAAGCTGGTAGGCTCCTCCCTAATACAACTTCTCGATGACGAAAGGGACTTTCCAGTTGGATACGAATTTACCACCAATTTTTAGATGGGGTGATTGGCCTTCTCAGCACCAAGACCAACTCTCATTCTTGGAATGCTCGATCACGCACCATCCAATCAAAGGATTTGGCCATCCTTGCTCAATAAATCTCTAGATTTTGCTGAACTAGCAATCTCATCTCATCTATAATGTGTCGAGCTCTTCCATTCTCAGGAGAGCATTTTGCTCCTGAGTAAGATCATGCTAAGCAACTACCCTAAGTGATGGTAGCTCAATTTCTAGTGACAGCACTGCTTCAACCCCAAACACTAGTGCAAGATGTAGCTTTGGTTGGCATCATATAAATTGTATGATACGCTCAAGCACTTCCACCATCTCGGTGTGCCACTCTCTTTTGTTCTTTGTAAGGATCTTCTTGAATAACTTCACTAGAGTTTTTTTAAGTCCTTTACGAGGCTATTTGCTCTTGGGTTGTATATGGATAAATAATGCCAAACAATTTTATGTCGATCAATCAATTTGTGGATTTTGGTACTCATGAATGTTGTACTGTTTTCTGAATTATATGGCGCAGTATGCCAAATCTATAAACAATGTTATGGGTAATGAGGTTGACCTTGTGTTCAGATGTGACTTTTTTGAATGGAGCCATTTTTGCCACTTAGAAACGTAGTCTGTTGCTCCCAGTATGAAGCGGTGTCAAACTGATGACGGCGAATATATCGACCATATTATATTTGTGCCCCAACATTCAATTTTCAGTATGTAACTGTAGGGTGCGGCGAATTTGGCAGCTGATATATAACATCACTGTGGATCTGACACTAATGACACCTCTTAGCATGATAAATGCAATCTATTACTAGTACTGGCCAATAATAACCCATCATCATGATTTTGACTGCCATTTTGGGACCGGATTGGTGTGCATCATAAAATCCTTCATGAAATTCTACTACCACCTTATCAACTTCTTTAGTCGTCCAATATTTACAACAATTCTTTAATCTTGTAATTTAATTCCTAAAGAATATAAGATAATTGTATTAAATTTAATTCAGGATCACAATTTTGTTAAAATCAAATGTTTTTTATTTCAATTTACAAATTAAATAGTACTAGTACTTATACTTCATAAAAATACACATAAAATCCAATTATTTAAGATATAAATGGTCTAGGCACGATAAAGCAATGTGAAATCTGAGGGCTACCGCAACACAGATGGAAGGATGGATTTGCATAACTACCAAAAGAGATAATCATATATATATAATTGGAAATAGTTCAACTTTACAATATTTTTGGGAAGAAAAAAGAAAATTGCGCTCACATATGTAGTTCAAAGACATTTAGCCCAATTTAACAAGCTCCAGACCAATTTAAAAATAACTTGAAGAGAGATCGAAGAGCGAACATTTTTGAGATAGAGGATGAATAATCTTGGCAAGAGATACAAGAGATCACCTACACTCTCGAGAGACAACCATTCTAGGATTTTATAAGACGACCGTGGGAATGCATGAGTGTTTTTAAGACAGCGTCGATCCGAGCACTAGAAGAGTAGTCCTAATACATTGAGAAAACCATACAAGATGTTCAGACTAATGTGACGAAGACGACATGAGCAGAACAGATGTGTGAGCATAATTAAGATCAGCATGGGATGGAGATGGGGGGATAGAGTAAAACACGAGCAAGACAAGAGACCGGGATGAAGATGTCAGATTTCACAGGCAGATGAGCAATAGAAGTAGAGAGCTAGTGTTTCCAAGCCCAATACAAATCGACTTAGGATTGTATGAGATCAATCCTAGAAGAAGAGCATTGCGAGATCTAGGACTTGGCCAATACAAGGCGGAGATGAAGACTAGATCATTATCCTGACACTAAGTTAATTGGACTACCTGCCTTCACATCAAGGGTTATGCTCATGAAATAAATAGTAAACAATATTACACAAGAAAATACTTGAGTGATTCAAGCAATTAAGGCTTCATTTGAGATGATTTTTTTACTGCTACTTTAAATAGTTTTTTAGTATAAATTTTATTTAAACTAAATTTTTTTTACTAGAAAGCTACTTTAAAAACCAATAAGAAAACTATCTCAAATGAAGCCTAAATCAATCTAATAAAAAACTACAGTTATATTCCTAAAATAAAAATATTTATAAATATCTAATTTTAATTACACATATTATATAAACCTATTTAGCAAAATGACAATTATGGCATCCATTTTCCTGATAAGATAAAAAAAAAACTAAAAAATAAAATCTCATGGCTTAAAAAATCATTTGAGGGGCGACTCAAATTAAGCAATACAAGTAGCACCTCAAAGCTTGAGCTCATTGGTGCCAGTGAGTCTTACAACTTCTTTAAATATGCATACACCTTGAGAAATTTTGAGGCGACGCCTCATTTAAGTTAAATTTAGTCAAATTTGTTTATTATTATTATTATTATTATTATTATTATTATTATTATTTCATTTAATTATATAAAAAGAAGTAACTAATTAACTATATGAAGAATTGTTTATGTTATATTTAATAAAAAGTTAAAATATAAACACCTGAAAGTACAAATACAAATAATTGGTGATAATGAAATGGATCCTTTTGTTATTAATGATATATTATTTCATGATGAACATAAAAAAATAATGAAAGATTTGAACTTGAAGATAATGGAATGGTTTTAAAGTGGAGAAGAATGAAAATATTAATGCTAATATTAAAAACTACTGAATTGAGAGTAGCTTCTACTTTACAATCATTTAAAAAAAAGAAGCAAAGATGGTTAGAGTTTCAAAAAAATCAAAAATAATTTAATTATAATGAATTACTTTGTTGTATTATTAATTTATTGTTTTACATGAAATTATATTGAATCAAATAAAAATTCATATAAATAGAGTAAGAGAAAAAATATTATAATTGAAAAAGATTTTGATGATGATTATAAGACAGAATGTAAGGATGATAGAGTTATTTCATTATAGATATTCTAATATGAAAGTTTGGACGACGTTGTCATGAATCTTGATTCTCTTGGCATATTTAAATTTAAAGTGAATGCTTACCATGAATCTCATTTCAATTTTTTATTTTGTAATAACATTTAATATTGAGATTTGTAATTTGTATCTTTATGATGATGTATCGAGTAAATATATTAAAATTGTAGTTATTTTTTGTCATTTTTTTTATTATTTTTTAAGGGTTATAACTAGATCCACCCCCAAGACTACAGCTCGCATTGTTAAGGTAAAACACCTCAATTCTTGATTTCACCTTTTTTTAACCATGCAAAATCTACAAGGTATGGGCAAATATTAGTGTTGGTGATCTAGGTTCCAAAGAGAAACAAAAACCCAAATAATTTCCCATAATCGTTAGTCTAGAAAAGTTAAGATTATAGTGATTCTTTTCTGCCCTTGTAAACTCTTCTTTTTTTTTGTTCAGCAACAAAAGTTGTTTTAATATTTGAGGGGATCTCCTCAAAGGCAATAACAAGCCTTTTTAATTATAAATAGGCAAGTGCATTTCATCTCCATGAGTGGAGAAAATTCATCTATTGATATTTGTGAAGATATAAGAAAAACTTCTTTGATGAAGATGGATTCCTTACCCATATTCAGCATGAATAGGAAACCTTTGCAAACGATTTGACTGCTTTGAGCTCTGAAGCTTTTCCAATTGTAAATGGTAACCACCCAACGTTTTGAGTTTATTTGAATGGAGACTACATGTGTTGATATGAACTCCACCTAAATTATTCAAACAGATGAATGCAGTGTATTCAAAGGTTAACAAAAATAGATCATGCAGAAAGCTGAAAGTTTTATTATCTTGAAGCAGAAGATTAAATGGTTCATCAAGGTGATGGATATATTTTCCAGAAAAAGGAAAGGAAAAGCATAAAGCTATTGGAGAAATATTTATCAGGCGTCATCAACATCAATGTCATTCAAACTCAATTCAGGTGCATAAAATATAACGGAAAAAATATCTATAAAATTTTCAAGATTTTGCGTAGTAATTTTCTTGCATGTCTTATCAGCTCACTAGATTCACCCAACAACAATGGATTTCTTTGTCGTAATGAGTAGCACTTCTTAAAAGGTCATAGACTTCTACCACATGGAATTTGTTAGCAACTCTTACTAAGTCCTAGCATGCACCATACATTCATGATTATTATACAACTTATTGCTAATTTAACATAATACTCTATACTTATTTCCTGATCAAGTGACCTTGGAAACAGGGGCAGACCTGTGTATTGATGCCCACCATCACAATTTTAATATGTTAATTTTATTAGGGATATTTTAGGTATTTGAGAGAAGGCAGACTTGTTATTTTACCCAAATGACCAAAAAAAAAAACCACGGTCTGCCTTTTGTGCGATTTGCGAACCACTTTGGATTTGCGAACAAAGTCGCTAGGCACTGGGGGAGGCCGAGGCCAAAGCGATCGCTCCTAGAGTCTCTCTCCACGTTCACCGGCTGCCTTCTCTCCACACTCGCCGAGCTTTGTTCCCGCTGTCGCACATCAAGCCGGTGCCAGATTGCCTAATTTTTCAGTTTTGTGAAAAAACAATAAATTGCTTCTCTCCAAAATGCAATTTTTTGTGATTTTTCATCTTAATATTAGAGATGAGATGTTTTGATATCTATATCATTTTGGAAATTAGTATGTGATTTAAGGTTTAAAATTGTGTAAATAAGCCTCGAGGCAATTTTCGTCCATGAGGCGTAAGCCTCGAGGCGGTCTCAGGCGTAAGACTCACAGACGCAGAATTGCGTAAAGGAGAATTTAAGGGTTTTGGCAGGTAAATAATAGCAATATTCTATTATACAATAAAAACATCTAAATGATATATGAAAATAGTAGAAAGTAAGAAAATAGATGCAATAAAATCATGTCCCAAAGTACAAAATCACAAAATATTAGTTTAACAAAACTCTCAAAGTACAAAGAACATATAAAATCCAATCATATCCCATCACTAAATGGGTCTTCAAGGGAATCTTCTTCTCCAATTATATCTATGAATGTCATATCATCATCATCTTCAATATGACTCACTTTTCTCTTCCCTGTTCAATAAGAGAAAAGATAATTATCATGTTAATTGCTCACTTGATATAAATATAATGCAATAGCATATAAGAAGTTGTGCAATATTTTTATTTGATTGTTGTGCTACAGAGCTAGTGGATGTGTGTGGTGTAGTACTAGTGGATGTGCTCACTTGATCTGCTTCGCCCCTCAAGACATTCACGCTTAGTTCCTCTAGCTGTAAGTCTGATAATGGCAAATCTGTCTCATCATCTATGAACCACTCATTATCAGATGACACATCATCACACACCAACGGGTCTTCATCATCCTTCAACCCCTTATTTCTTAATCTCCTATCTCTTAACATCTTGTTGTGCATAATATATACAAGGGAGTTCATTCTGAGTGTTGAAAGCTGATTTCTTCTCTTTGTTTACACTTGACTATATGTACTCCAGTTTCGCTCACACCCGGTATGAGTTGTTTCATGCAATGATACAAACCAAGCTTCACCTCTGGGTTTGAAGATTTCTTCTCTGAATATTAAAATTGAGGATTGAGATAATATGCTGCTGCATGTAGATGACGGTGTAACTGTACCTCCCATCGAGCATCAATGATATCCCAAATCTCTCTATAACTTATCTCCTCTCCTCTCAAGTTGTATGCAATCAACTCATTGGCCTCATCCATAAGATTATAATAAAAACCTATGGCTGGTTTCTTCTCGGCATCCACTAAACGTAGAACTTGCACTAAGGATCTCGTGCTCAATATGGCATAGGTCACAGTAGCCCAAAATTTATCATTTAGAATTATTTTTATTATTTCCTTCCCCTCACTTTTCTTCCCCCACTCAGAGTTAATCCATTCTGCTGATGTAAACATTGCTTCCAAAGATTGCCTCACATCTAACAGACTCTGTAGTGTCAAATAAGATGTGGCAAACCTGTAGATTTGCAATGCACAAATGTAAGAACATACAGTAGGAATTGATAATGATTTGTAGTGCACAAATGTAAGAACATACCTCGTAGTTGCAGGACGAATGATTTCCTTAGAAAACTTTCTCATCAAGGCTAAACCCATAAGTGGTTATAGATGAACTTTGTGATCTTCGCCCTAGAAAGAGCGCTCTTGTGCTGAGGTAAATCACCAAGTTCCTCCAATATGAGGTCGATATAATGTGCTGTGCAGGGGCTCCAATATAAGTGTTTCCTCTTCTCCATCAATATCTGACCAGCTGCTTTGTATGCACTAGCATTGTCAGTCACCACCTGAACAACCAATTTCTCCCCAATTTTCTCAATAACCTATCTAGTAAATTGAAAATGAATGCAGCATTTTTAACCTCATCTGAAGCTTCAACTAATCGTAAAAACACCGTGTCGTAGGGATTGTTGACAAGGATGTTAATTAAGCTCCTGCTCTTCATGTCAGACCATCCATCTGACATAATGGTAACATCAGTCTCAATCCATGTCCGTTTAATCTCATCAATGCTCCGCTCTGTATTCTGCAGCTCCTTCAAAATCCATGTTCGCAACTCGTACATGGAAGGTGCCTTCAACCCTCTCCCATACAACCCTACAGACCGCAGCATGTTGAAGTAGGCCGGCGATGTCGCAACATTAAACGGTATGGCATTCTCAAAAAAAATCTACCAATATCCATGCAAACTTGCCGTCGACCCTCTCTAGTACCAGCCGCAGGCATCATCTGGGCTAGTCCTCTATCCTCTCCTGGAGTAGTCATGTACTGGTCCATAAGACCCCGTACACCTCTATTATGTATAGTGGAGGAAGAGCCCTTTCAACTCTCGCTTTCAAAGTAAGCACCATGTTCGACCCTTTCATCAAATTGCTCTTGTTGTAAATGTTTGGCCGTCGTAGACTTTTTCATATAAGCTGTAATTTCCTCCTTCACGTTATCTGGAACATTCGCACAAGGTGCTACATTCTTGTGTGAGCCGGATAAGTGATCCTTCATGCGAGTTACTCCTCCCTTCACCACCTTATCATAAAAATTGCATTTTAAATAAACATAAGTCTTCTCGCCGCCTCTTACATCAACTTGCATACTATATTTCCATGAAGGGTCACGCCGCAATGACGTAATTGCCTTTTCCTTGCCTCTAACCATGTTTCCTAATGTAAAAATCCAAAAACAAACAAAAAAATTCTAAAAATCATAAACCCTAAGTTTTCTTTCACTTGAAAAATCTTAGGTTAAACTTTAAAAAATTACCTAAACTCGGTTGTGGACTCCTCCTATAGGGCGGCCGAACACTTCAAGATGGCCGGAGTTAGGCGGCGCCGGCGGGAGAGGCGGCGGGAAGGGAGGCCGAGCGGCGTGCAAACGAACAAGCATGCTGCGGCTTTTTTCCTGCTCGAGTTCGGGTATGGCTGACAGGGGAGGGGAGGAATGAAATTTTATTTCATTGAAACTTAAGTGAGTGGGGCCCGAAATTAGAGGCGTGCACCTCAGGCTGAATTGCGCAATTCAGCCTCAAAGGCGCACCTCACATTGCACGAGGCGTACGCCTCATGGAACCCCAAAAAAGCTTAAGACTTGAGGCGTTTTTCCTCAAAATTGCACAGAGGCGCGCCACTCATTGCGCAATTTTAAACAGAGATGTGATTAGATTATTATTGTTCTGTTAGTGTTATGTACGATTTGTTTGAGTGAAGCAAATTAAATCTTTGATAATGCTATTAATGCCTTAATGTTCATTATATTCAGCATACAATAGATGGATCGATATTTGAAGAGAAAGGTATGTGTTGAGGTTGATATTGATAATTTTCATATTGACCCTGGGCTTCGACCTACAATATGGAGTTATGATATAAATGAGAGGGATAGAGTTCGAGCATATTTGGTGAAGGGACCTTATCAGCCTAAAAATTATATTTTTTCTCAAACAATAATGGGAAATATTGCTCGAAAGTTTAATTCTAAATGGTTTGAAGAATATCAAAATGGTTGGAGTATATAGTATACACAACGATTCTGCTTTTTATTTATAGTTACCTATTCAAACCTCGAGAATAGACGAGTATAAGTCAAGGTAATGGTGATTCATTTGTTGGTGAAGGATTTAAAAATTGGAAGAGAACAAAAAAGTTATTATCTCATGTCGGGGAACATAATAGTACGCACAATAACGCAAGAATAAAATATGAAGATTTAATAAATCTTAAATTACAGAGTGTTCTTACTTTATAATTCAGTAAAGATGATAAGAATAAAAAAAAATATAAAGTCCTATTGACTGCTGATGTTGAGTGTGTTAGATTTTTTTTAAAGCAATATTTATCATTCTATGATCACGATGAGACACCTGATTCAGATAATAAAGAGAATTATTTAGAGTTATTCCATTTTCTTGCTAATCATAATGAATAAATCAAGAAATTTAATTTTGAAAATACTAGAGCAAAATTGAAGTTAATTTGACACAAAATTTAGAAAGAAATTTGTTGTGCAGCATCGGCTGAAATATTAATTTCTATCATTAATTTTATTGGCAATTTTTATTTTGTCATTCTAGTAGATGAGACTAATGATGTATCAACGAATGAGCAATTGATAGTTGTTGTGAGATATGTGGATATAAAATGGTAGGTTATAAAAAAATTTATTTGTATTAAACATATTGCTTCAACTAAAGCTATGATACTTAAAGCATCAGTTGAAG